GTACGAATAAAAGGGAGGCACGGAGAGGCTTGAGGGTCTTTGCCTGCCATCTCACCTGAAGAAGCATGTTGCCCGTGTGTTTCCTGATCTAAAGCGAGGCCCGTTGGTTTAGGCCAACGTACATCACCAGTCCATTCCTCTGGAGAGGAATAAGTTCATCCTGCAGGCGCAGGATCCCGGGATTTTGCGATCCCACAGAGCATAGCGATCTCTTACAGCACTGGGCCTTCCACCTTATTTTTGTTCCCTTTCTTTGCTTCTGTCTTTATTTTCTACTGAACAAGCACATAGATGGAAATGTGAGAATAGCACTTTACTGCATCTTATAAAGAGGGATCTGACCTACCCAAGACTACACTATGAACTGTTAATCTAGCAAGATATCCTCCTTTTGCCACAAATGATTTCAGAATTTGTCAAAATTACACAGCATATAAAGAATAATGAGTTTATATTCTATTGAATATAAGCAACATGTAACTCTGAACAAGTTAGTCAAATATAATTTGAAAATATCTGTTGTCAATACTATTTTTTCCATTAGAAGTTAGGGTACCTAAGTAAATTTAGAAATTCTTTAAAACAGTCATTAAATAAGGTCAGCTCTTGCATATATTTAATCAGTTAAAGTGGCTTGTTTATTTCAACAACCTATCAAAATAATCTAATACATATTTATAGAGAAGTTAAATTCTTGTAAACTGAGTTAGATCAAAATTGAACAATCCCAATCTTTTGCTATATTTAGCAACATGATACTATTGGGAGCAAATGTTCAGATGGTCGTTCCATCAAAGATAGTACAGACTGTAATTTTACAATAACAAAGCGCTTTCCCTAATATTGATAAAATTTTCTGTTTAATCTTTCCCTGGGGAGAAAAATCACCAGACTGCTCTTAAATAATTATCTCTATTCAGCCCTGCCAGACAGATGCCTCATCCCAGGGGTCTTCAAACTTGGCCCTTTTATGACTTGTGGACTTCAACTCCCAGAATTCCTCAGCCATGTCTAGTTATCACTTGCTGGAGACTAGAAAGATATTCCTGTTCTATATATAGTAGAAATGTATATACATTATATTGGTCCAGCAAACTGCAACTTCAAATTCAGCTGTCCCAGAGTAATTGCACCAGCATAAAACAAGGTAGATATTTAGCCCGCCACTTCACTTTTCAATGTATGAAACTGTTCACAAATTATATCCTGCAAGAATTTATACAACCCTGAGGAGGAAGTCCGATATTGCTCTCTGCAAGGACCCAGGTATTCTAGGGTTCTATTATCACAAGCAGCTCCAATTCATTATTATTCTGCATAGAAAGTTTGTTAAGTAACTGCATGATGCCAGAGATTGTAGCTGACCATCCTTTTGCTCATTTCCAGATTTCCCTCATAAAACAAAACTGTTACCTACTGACAAAGCTTTTTGGCTATGAGAAAAAAAATCCATAATTCTGTTACAATATACCCTTTTAGTAAACCAGTTCAGAGCTGTTTTCGTTTTAACAACTTAGCCTCAAGTAAATTGAGCATTGTGAAAAGATGTCGTATTACTGGATAATTTCCACCTATCTGGCTTTTACAAGCATTTTTATTTTTCTTCACAGAACAATTATCATTTTTTTCTTCTACGTTATTTCCTCGTTCCCCCACCCAGAATTTGAGGGAAATTCCTTTTTCTTTGGTAAGGAGGCTGCTGGAGCTCGGCCCACCGAGACAAGATGATTACGCTACGCGACGAACCATACAGCCTTCCCCCTTGTCCTTCAGTTGTGCTGAGTCATAAAAGCAACAGCACCCACTATCCCCGCCCGCTGGATACATTTTGGTATGCTCCGCCTATACCTCTTCCTCTCTCGCCCTCCCTCCACTCCCAAGTGCGTTCATGCATTCATCCGATCGTGCTGCCACCCTCATCCGGAATCCGATGGTACGTCCCAGGCTCCCCCTGCGGCTGAGTGCGGTGGTAGGCTCCGGCGGTAGCAGAGTCCCGTCCGGTCCCGCCCCGCCTCCCTCCGCCTTGTCATTGATGTTGTTGTTTTTGTCGCAGGAGCCGGAGGGAAGGCCGGGGCCGGGGCCGGGCTTTGGGCTGCGGCCGCCGGCGGCTGGGCCGGCGATGTCGTCGGTGTGCGGGGGGTCGGTGGGCGCCGGCTCCTTGCCCAGCGAGTTGGTGGTTCACATCTTCTCGTTCCTGGCGGCCCCTGACCGACTTCGGGCCTCAGCCGCCTGCTCGCACTGGCGCGAGTGCCTCTTCTACCCGGCGCTGTGGCCCCGGCTGCGCCTCAGCTTGCGCGTCTGCCCGGCGGAGCGCCCGCGCCTTGACTTCTTGATGCGCAAGTGCGGCTGGTTCGTGCGCGAACTCCGCGTCCAATTCGCCGCCGACAACTATCCCAGCGGCGGAGGCGGGGGCGGAAGCGCGAGCGGGGTCTGCGAAGAAACGGCGGCGGTAACGGCGGCGGTAGCCGAGGGGGAAGCGCCGCTCTGCCCTCGCTGGCTGGAGCTGTTGAGGACATACCTGGAGCTCGTGCTCTGCGTATTGAGCAGCGTCCGCAACAACAGGTAGGCGAGCGTTTGGACCACCCACACCCACACCGCCACACACACACACACACACACGAGGGACTGGGGTGGGGGGAACAAAGGAGGAAGCGGCCAGGTTTTCCCCTTTCCACCGCCCAAACTTTTTTGCCCGCAAGGTTTCCGTATGGCCGCAGTCCGGGAAAAGTTCTCGGATGGAGTTCAGAATATGGAGAAAAGCCACTACTTGTTCAGTGCCTGCGTCTCACCCAACGGAGGCGCAGGAAGCGAGGGGAGGGGAGGAGAATATGTCGCTGGCTTCACTAGGGAAACCCGACGGGAAAGAACACTCGCCAAAGGGAACACTCGTAGCATGTCGTCAACTGCAGCGGCGCGATCTCTGCTGAGACGAGCGAGCGCTGCTGCTTTTGCTGGGAACCTCAAGCACAACTGGGGAGAAGTGTCCTTAGCTTCGAAGGGTCGCCTAAAACGGCGGCTTTTCTTGGGCACCGTTCTCTGTAAGATGCCTCCTGTTTCGATGCATTGATTGCATATTTACCCGAAGCCTATCAGTTCTTGTGACGTTTATTTACCCTGATACTTGACCGATAATCGGTATTTTAAAATGCCTCTCTTTTAAAAGTGCATGGTACTAATTGGAAGCCGGCATCGGAGCAAGTGGGACTATGGGCTGAAAAACACGATGTTTGTTTTTTTTAACAAATGTTTGCATTTTTAACAAATGTTTGCATTTATGAGTCTTTTAGCAATCCTTCAAAATTGGAGAAAGTGGCTTGAAAGACTTCGCTCCAGTACAATTTTCAGATTAGTCAGTGCAGACATCCTAAAGTCGCTTACGTTTTATTTATATACTGTATACAATTTAGAGGTTGCCTAACTGCAAACAAACTCACACAACTCGAATAAATGTCCCTAGGAGAAGCAACAAACCTAACAGTAAAACAAGTACAAAACAACTACAGCTACAAAACACTGCAGCCACCTTAGCCTAAAAGCCTTGGAGAACAGCCAGGTTTTCAAAGGCTTTGGAACATCATTAGAGTGGGAACTATATGGATGGGGGGGTGATATACTATACCAGAAGGAGGTGCCTCAATAGTACTCATTATATTAATAACATAAGAGAATTTTTTTAAAGGAAAACCATATGCAATATGATTTAGTAAATCTTAAGCTCTCTTTGGCTTTTGTTTTGTATTCATCAAATAACTCATCAAAGAATTCTAAGATTTCTAACCTTTCAAGGTCGTAACAAAGGACCCTAGTTTATACAGTTACGTTCTAAGGTTGTTAACCTATCTTCTTTCCCTTTCTTTTTCATTACTGTTATATCTCCCTGCTTCACTACAAATTAAAATGTCCTTTCAGTAAGATTGTGCTTTTCTTTTTCTTCGTGCTGTGCTTTGTCCCATTTTTTTGTTGGAAATAAAATAAAATCTATTTTGTATAATTAATTAATTTCTGCCTTGGAAGTGTAAATCAATTACGTTACTACCTTTTCCTTAGATTTTATGTTACCTAAATAAAACAAATTGCATAATTGAAGTAATAAATAGGACACAGCTCTTACATTTTACATTTCTTACATTTCTAGCCTTATAGCTCAAGTCTCTTAGGTACTGTGATGCAACAGCTTTTGTCACAAGAGATCATTAGATTTATCTGTAGTGAAACATTTAAGAGTGAGTCAGGAATTTGTACTCATAGCCCACCGAGTTACCCATAGTTTTACCATAAGGTTTTTTCTAGCTGCTTCACATTTTTATTTTTCACATATTGTGAAAAAGCTGCAGTGAAATCATTCAATTCTGGAGTGAATCCATAAAATGAAAAAGTCAAAAGAAGAAAAGGTAGAGAAGACCACCAACAATAGTAAGCTGTTATAAGCAATACATATAATAAACTGGCAATAAAACCTATACAAATTGAGAATCTAAATTAAAAAGGTCCACTTGGCTAATCTATTTGGCTAATGAAGCCACTATATTAGGATAAATAATTTGACAAATATAACAGTAATTCTCAGGTCTTTGCTGCAAATAGAAAAATGAATTTATACAAGGTTGATCTTTTTTGCTCAGAACTGCTATACCCACCAAACTATATTACTGGGCTCATCTGTATCTCATGATTAACCTTGATTATTATCTATGTATTGTTTGTTACCTGTTCATGTGTGCAATTGATCTCTTCAGGTCATGTTTGTTTAGAACATGCTTCCAACATTATTGAAATAGCCTTATCATAGACAAAATGATTAGTCTATCGAATCACACATCATTAATTCTGCTGCAGCTAATTAAGATTATGGGACAATCTTTGCTGCAGACTGTTTGATGGACATGATCGTAAATGCCATCAGATATAGAAAATCTAAATAGGAGACTAATAATGAATAAATGATATTATTAACCATATATGCTTATGCAGTAATAAACTGATTGCTGTATCTTTAAAAAAAATGCTGTATCTTTTACAAAGCATTAAAAGTACTAATTTGATTAGAAAAATAGTGAAGTTTCTACTGACAAGTTTTAGAGTCTCTGTAGCTCTCTTCAAGTTCTGTCCCTCCTAACCTCCTATAAAGTTTCACAGATATATTTACCTTCACAAATGTATTTCTAAACCCCCAGAAATTTAAAGGGGGGGGGGATAAGCATCCCACGACTCAAGTCGGAAAAATAATAATTGATGGGAGAATATTGTATACATTTAATTTTATATTTGGTCTTTGAAATTTTATCTTTTCAAAGCTGCTTTTCCTTATAGAAAGGGGAGATCAGGCCTTTTGTTTATAATGTATATTTATGCCCAAAGGTAACTAAACAAGAATTGCTAGGTTATGGAGTGAACAAAAGAAATGTTGATTGTAACTTTTAGTCCTATAGTAACAAACACATGATTCAGGTATCTAAGAAGTATAAGGAGATGGTTTGATAAATCCTAAAAATAAGCTTGACTTTTAACTTTTTCTGTGAAATAAGAAAATAACATTCCTCACTATGTATGCCAATTTCAAGTGGATTTAATCTACTCTTAATGTAGGTAATTTATTGAGAAAAAACATAACTGTGAAAACTTTGTTCTGCAATAACAATCAACATGGTTATACTATTATGAGAAAAATCCTGTGAAACGTGACAAATCTCTGAATAAATAATGTAAGATTGCACCATATTAAAAGCGATGGAATTGAAAAAATTTATCTCATGTATATACTATAGCAGTGGTGGCGAACCTATGGCACGAGTGCCAGTGGCGGCACTCGGAGCCCTCTCTGTGGGCACACTTGCCGTTGCCCCAGCCTCACCTTCCCCTGCAACCCCATCCTCTCCAGCAGCCCCCCTGAAGGAGAGTCGCCCCTGAGCGTGGCCCACGCGGAGCAGCGCAGCCAACGACATGGCAGCCAAGCAGCATAGACAAGACTCTGCCCTCACACCCCATCGTGTATAGTTGATGCTGCAGGGTGCGGGCACAGGGCGTGACCGCCATAGCACTGCTGGGCTGCCTGGGCGATCTGCGACGGGCCCTGGAGGTGGTGAGTGGCCCTGCGGGCAGGTGGGGTGGGAGATGGGGGCGGGTCAGGGGATGGGGCGGGGGTGGGGCCAGTTTTTGGGCACTCGGTCTCTAAAAGGTTCGCCATCACTGTATTATAGCCTTATTTACTTCTGAAGATAGTCCTATATTTTGGATAGCCTCCATTCCACACTTGTAACAGTTCTGAATTTGCTTAATGTCAGCTGCATTATGTGTCATACAATATAAGTATTTTGTATGTAGTGCAAGTTAAGAGCTGCATGCTAGGGCTGCAAGTAAAGGACAGGAATATATAATCTTATTGTGTCACCATACAAATCAAAATTTGCCCATTTCTATATGGAAAAAATTGCATTAATTGTGTGTGTGCGTGTGTGTGTTTGTGTTTGTGTATATAATCTTTATTAACAGGCTCAATTATAATAGTAACCTTGGTTAGCAGATATTGGCATTCAAAAATACCCAAATATACAATGCCATAACTGAGCTATAAAGTTTGCTTAATCAGTTAGGAATGATCAATCTTTTTTACTCTCATCTACTGCAGTAAGGAGCTCCCAGTGGAAAGGTTGGATATAAATGTAGTAATGAAGCCAGATTGTGCTTTGGATATGGGCAGTTTATAAACTTCCAATGACATTTTAATTTCAGATATAAAAACTTGCAATCCTCCAGAATGTTTACAGTTCCCATTTTTCCTCATTGAATCAAGGAATGTTAGTATTGGAAAAGACTGTAAGAATCATCTAGTTCCTATTTTGTGGATTGCAAAAGCCATCAAAATCTTATTTTTTAAACGTATATCAGAGACTGAAAACTTTTTGGATCTTCTTGTAAATTTAGGGTTAATTAATATGGAGTTACTTATCTCTGGAACTAAACTGTGTTTTCTAACATGTTAATGATATTGTATTTTTAACCTTATTTACAAAAATAGGGTATGTAAGCTGCTTAGAATCAGTATCAAATGGAGCAGTATATAAGCCCATTAATAAATATTTTGAAACCCTTATTTGTTAATTACAGTATTTTCATTTAACACATTCATTCTAATGTTGTGGTAGCTCTGTATTGTTCATACCTAATCTGCCCGAGGAAATTGACTTTTGTTTTATCAAAGTGAACATTTTAGAATATTTTAATTTGGAAGAGAAACTTATTTGTTCACTTCAAATGAAGAACCTAAACTGAGCAGAGGATAGATCTGAAAAGAAAATAAGAGAATGTTTTGAAGTTTGAGGCAAAAAATTATTGATACACATTCATTAATGATTCTGGATTATTTTTCTAAGTAAATCTTATTTATCAGCAGCTATTTTTTTGTGTGTTAATGCCATGATAGTTTTGTTGGCTGAAGCTCATGTAGCTTCCAAGATAGTGATGTAAAATACTTTCCATTTTAAATTACAATTGTTCCAATTTCTAATAATTCACCATACTGGTTGGGGCTGATAGAAGTTGTAGTTCAAAAGACCACTAGATTC